TATTTCCCCATGTATAAGACGCACCATTTTTCGAAAAATTTGGGGTCTAAAAACTGGGTGTGTCTTATACAGTGGTTGTATGAGCGCAAAAAACAAGCGCGAAAAAAGCGGAAAATGCAAATTAAAAAAATCTACAACCACTGTATAAGACACACCCAGTTTTTAGACCCCAAATTTTTTTTAAAAGGGTGTGTCTTATACAAGGGGAAATACAGTAGTTAATAATGTAAATATTTTGTAGGGTGTCAGGTGGTCACATGTCTTGCTAGGGAGACCACTTCATGGATGGGGAAGAGGCTTGATCACCGCGCTGTACACCTGAAGCTGATGTTGTATAATGTATGTCAACTATAAGTGAATATATATATATATAGTCACAGGACATGGAGTAGAGTGTGGGAGTGGAGTCAAGGGAATTGTAATAGATATGTATGATATCAGGATGGGGGGGCAGTGGATGGGAGAGGGGGTTGTCACTTTGAACGGTAAAAAGTATAACTATTGCACTGTGGTGTACACCTGAAACTAATTAAAAAGTGTTTATTTCACAATAAAAAATCCAAAAAGCTAAAAAAAAAAAAAAAAGATCAGCCATCAATGTTTCCACATAATTTTGAAATCACAAGACTCCCTGAGGGTCCCGGTCTCCGCTGGTCTGGGTTCCTTGAGGTGGGATTTTCTGAACCCAGCTGGCTGGCTTCCCCTCTCCTGGTTCCGTTGAGGTGGAGAGGTGGCCCTCCTGGTGAGTAGTGACAGGAGAGCAGCTTGATTTTTGTTTCCTCTTTGCCTGTTTGTTTGTTTCCGTTGGGTGTCTGTCTTTCTAAGCAGGGGAGGTATAGCTCACCTCTCCTTTCCTCGTCCAGCGCTGAGAGCCCCTGGGAGCCAGGTGTGTGCACAGAGCCTGTGCCCTAGAACGGCCGTCCCTGGCCTCTGGGGGCCACGTTCTCCAGGGTCAGCTTCACTAGGACGAAAGGGGGCTCAGGGCTTCCCCCCAGCTTACTGCTGGGTCTTCCTTTATCATGTTTTTCAGTCATACAGGGAAGAAGGCATTCTTTCTGGCCCCTCCAAGCCACCCAAGGGAGATTCACACTTGAAACACATGTTATAATATCTCCACGCAGCCCGTTACCCATCCTTCATCTGAGCACCCCCTTCGGCCCTTATAGGGGGTGAGACCTCTTACTAGAAGGAACAGGTGCTGAGGGGCAGACCTGCTCCAGCCCCGACCTCACGCTGGCGGTGGGCAGCTCTGTGCCCCGGGGAGGCGGTGCTACTCGGGGGAACTCGGGCAGAGGGGACAGTGACACGGTGAGGGGTGTGCGTGGGGGTTCTTTACATTCCAGCTTGTGCTTTCAAATGTTTGTATCATTTATCTATTGTTTTCCAGACCAACTCCACAGGTTGATTGGGAAAAAGTAGATGGTGATCTACCAAAGGGCAGAGAAACGAAAGAAAGTTATGGCAAGACTTTGAAGATCGAGAATGTCTCCTTCCAGGACAAAGGGGTTTACCGGTGCACAGCCACCAACCTCCAGGGATGGGCCACTCATGACTTCCATGTCACAGTAGAAGGTACAGACCCATCCCACGTTGACTGATTTTTCTGCTGTTTAAAAAGCGTGCGTCCATACGTGCAGTGGACTAACACCACTAAAGCGTACGTGCTAAGACAGGAACACCGTTGCCACGTTTAACTGCAGAGTGGGCACTGGTTTGGATCACACTTCAGTTAACCCCTTTGTCATTTACCCCACAGAACCGCATGGAAGGGACAGATGACACAGAGATCTCGTGCTAGGGATTTAGCACTGGCGACTTTCCACTATTTGTTAAGTAGTCATCAGCGTAGTTCCCTCTATCGTGCTGTGAGAGGTATCTTTGTTGTAACACACATGACACTGCGTAATGGCAAGTCTTAAAGGAAGTGACGTTTGCGATGGAGGAAAGCGTGCGCTGTCTCCCAGCCTGTCATTTCCAGCCGTGTCCTCCGTGAATTTATGTCACTTCCTGTGCCTCAGTGTCCTCACCAGGGAAATGAGCGAGTCAGACATATGTTGCCTTAGCTCTTGCCTGGGTATGTTTTCTGTTTGGTTTGGTTTTTTGTCCGTATCTTGTGTTGATGATATTCAACTGTGGGGTAAGAATAGACTCTATGGTAGAAACATTAATTTTGAGGTTTGGCTGTTGTTTGGGGGTTATAGAAATAAGTAGACAATGAGGCACCCTTTCAGGGGGGGCTACCACAGGCCAGTACTGGGCACGCCTGCCTGGCTAAGGTCCCCATCCAGGGAAGTGATGGACTCAGACTGCCCCTGAGGCTCTGATCATACCTCGGTCTCCTGCCCCAGGTGTGGATGGTGTGGATTAGGTTAAAGGGATGATCACTGCAGGTGGTCCTTCTGCCTAAAAGGTGGAGGAAGATGTCCCCTTTCGGGTCCCATTCAGGGACTGGCGCTGTAGGGTTTCTATTTACACTCCAATGACACTGCCCCTGAAAGCCTCGGTTTGCACACGGAGCACCACTGCTTTCAATAATGGAAGACTGTGAAGCCTCGGACACACATTCCCCGCACAAGCAAACGTTAATGGTGACTGTTTCAGTTGCGCTGCTGTTAGAAATAACACTGTTCCCGGGACCCCTCCCACAACGTGTGGGGTGAGCTAAATTAGGAAGAACTGAAAACCAAAGATGGGAAAATCCTTTTCCTCCGTTCAACAGAAGCAAACGAAACCAAGTAGGAGAAAGCCCAGAGTTCTCCATGAGCAGCAGCATCTGCCAACAGGGGTGTGTTCCTNTCAGCTCCTTCAGTAACGGGTCGTGAACATCAGAATGCACTTGTGGGATTGGAGGCCAGCTCATGAGATGTGGCCTGAGAGGGTCACGGTGTGACCAAGGGCCACCAGGCGCAAAGTCTATGTGCCTTAAATATGGCCTCTAAGACTAGGACTGTGCGTTCTGAAACAATCACGGGAAAACGGACGTTTGTCACGACGGCCATGGCACCAATGTTTGAGCTCTGAGTTGTGGACACTGCTGATTTACTTTCTTTTATTTTCCACGACCATATATATATATAGATAGATAGATAGATAGATAGATAGATAGATATAGATAGATATTCAATTATAGTTGACAACTCTTGATTTATTTTTAAAATACCATGACACCTCATTTAACAAGAATTCAGCAAGCGTACACTGAGTGCCTACTGTATACATCCCCTGTAGGCCCTGGGGTACTCCAGGGGGAGCCACTCAGGCCTAGGCCCCCCCCTCCCGGGCTTGCGTCCAGGGTCCCCCACCTTCCTGGGGACCGGCACCCGTTCCCGGGCTCCATCATCACCGACTCCGTAATAACAGACGTGGTAAAAGACAATCGGCAGCTCCCCCTTTTCTCTTTCTGCTGCTTTGGTCACATGTCCAGAAGCAGGAGAAGGAGAAATTGTACCGATGTCAACACCTGGAAGCATTCGCTCGCTCACACTCGCCTTTCTCCCTGAGCCCGGGAAGCAGTGATGGAAAGCACTAAGCTGTTAATTCGTATTTCCACCCAAAGTTTGCCAGCTGCCCAGGCCTGTGAGGAAGGCGGACGGGAGTGATGTGTGATGTCGGGAAACTGCAGCATGACGAGCATTGCGTGAGACTTTGACTGATGCTGACACCTGTGGGTGACCCCACGGCAGGCGCTGGGTCACTGCGTGAGCTGTGCTCTGTGGCTCTAACTGGGATCTTTGTTTGGTAAAAACAGATGCTACAAAANAGCCCCGGTGGGCTTCCCCGTGTGCGTTGGCAGTGGCGGAAGCCACATTCTTTCAGGACTTGCCACTGTTCTCGTTGACTTTTTGGGCAGGGCGAACGTTTCAGTAATTCTTGTTTCTTAACTTGCACAAATACCACAATTTGCCTCTAGGGCTGGCTGGCAGCTGCGTGGGTTGTCTTCAAAATAATAGAAAAGTTCTCATGTGCTTTAGAAACTGTAACGTCATGAAGCAATGTATAAAAAGAGTGGACATGAACACATGTCGTCCTCGGACACGAGACTCCTGCATTGTCAGCAGAGGTGTCACCTGAACTGGTCCTCAGTCTGGGTCTGCATGGGGACCCCTGTCTCCCCTGGTCCTCTTTCAGATGAAGGGGACACCCTGTAACATCTTTAGAGTACTTTAATTTTTTTTCTCAGAAGTTTTTAAACCACAAACCTGCAGTAACAAAAATAATTATACTGAGACACTGTCCCTTTCACACCGTGTCAGGAGGTGCCTTGCACGTTACATGCATTAGCTCATCTTGTCCTCGCACATGTCATGGCAGGACTGTCCCCATGGGCGGGTTACGGGCGGGGATCCCAGACACTTGAAGTCACTTCAAGCTCAGAGCGCTGTGGAGCTGGAATCCCCTCCTTCTGTCTCCAGAACCCTCAGCTACCTCAAAATTTAACTTACGCTGGCATATTTCAAACAGAGGAATCGTTCTGTTCATGTAGGGGTGAGGGGCGAAGGTTGGCATTGTCTCTGAACCTGAAGAATATTCCAGTCAGAGGTGAGTAACAGTGAAACCGCTGACATGTTTTATTGAAACAGGAAAACTTTCCCAGGAAAATCGGGGTCCAGGAGTTTACCTTCTAGAGATTCCGTGAGGAGGGCGGACATTGCAAGTACTAAAAATGGCGTGGTGCCTCTCAAGCAAGAGGGAAGGCTCGCCCCCCAAAGCAGTGAGTGGGACACGCACACCCAGGGCCACTCACACCCACACTCACACACACTCACACACCCACACACACACTCTCACACCCACACTCACACCCACACTCACACCCACACCCACTCACATACTCACACCCACTCCCACACCCACACACACACAACCACACACCCATACACACACTCACACCCACACTCACACCCACATTCACACCCACTCACACCCACACCCACATCTGTGCGCAGTTCCTTGGGACCAAAGGGACAGGGCAGCTTCCTCCACTGCCTGTTGGGCCTGTGTTCTCTGTTTTGTAAATTCATGAGTTGAAGCGAAGTTTGATTCTCGGTCAGGAGACTGCATTGTCAGCACAGGCTGTGTAGGAATGGAAGCTGGCTAGACAAGGACCTGCACGAAAATTTGAGATTTTGAGATAATGTATGAATGTAAAAATGGATCAAGCAATGTATTTTCCCCGAAAACTTCGTTGCTCAGATACTGTTAGTAAATGTTCCTTATGTTAAAAAAGAGAGAGAGAGAGAGAAAGGGAAAATGTGGCATGAAGATAGCTGGACGTTCTTGCAATGGTACGGACATGTTCCTGGATAAATTATGTCTCATGTGCATCTGATACTTTAATACTCATTCTGTTCTTCCAAGGGTAGGTATTAGAGGATTAGGCTGATTTTCAAGGACTGGGGGAAAAAAAAATGATGCAGAAAGTGAGACGCTTGCACTAGTAAAGCATGGACTCGTGAAAACCTCCTGGTTGGGAGGCGCCGTGGTCCAGAGCGGCCGGGACTTGGCAAACGGCTGCTTTGACAGAAGGCATGAAGAGCTTGAGCAGTTGGGAGGCGTGGGCGCCATCCTGTTAGGTGCTGTGTGAGGAAGCCCACAGCTAATCCCCCCCAGCTGCCCTGTGAGCAGAGCGAGCCGCGGGCTGTGAGCCTCAGACAGTAAAGGCTGTGGCTCTAGGTTGGAAGGCAGGTAGGTATCTGCTTTGAGAGGAGGGAAGTGGCAAAAAAGAATTGTAACTGAGAAAAAAATTATAATTTATAAATGTGTGTAAAGTAAAGGGCCTTCAGCCTCCCCTCCAATATTCTTTTGCATCATTGAATTATTTTAACCATTGCCTATCAATATAAGTAATTCGGGATAATTAAAACAAACAATATGAGACAACTGTCCAGTTATTAACCAGCAACTAATTAATGAGCTACATACACATATTCCGAGAATATACAGCTAGGAAGGAAAAGGGGATGAAAGAAGCATGAATGCAGTGGCACATGGTGATAACAGGAACGCGTTTGGAGTCAGACGGCTTTAAGTTCTAATGTGTCGTTTATTACCCCAGTGACCGTAAGCAAATTAATTAACTTCGTGGCGCTTCAGAATCCTTCCTGCTAAAATCATGGTCGCAATGCCCATCTTTAGAACGCACTCAATAACTTAACAGTATCAGTAAGAAGAAGAATATAGTGAGGAAGGAAAAGCAGCGTCAACACAAATAGCAAAGCTGAGTTTCTCCCACTCAGTCATAGAGCCCCACCCGAGAGGGGAAATACTGTAAAAACCACCAGTTCAGATCAGCCATCGCTATCATCAATAAATCAACAAACAACAAGTGCTGGTGAGGCTGTGGAGAAAAGGGAACCCTGGTGCACTGTTGGTGGGACTGCAGATTGGTGCAGCCATTATGGAAATCAGTATAGAGATATCTCAAAAAACTNAGGGCAGCGCTCAAGGTCAAACTCACAAGTACACTGAATCTTTCACACACAAAACACGGACAAAATCAAAGCACTTTCCCCCTTACACTTGGGCGTTAGCCTTCATACTAAAATTAGACTTTGAGAAATGGACTGTACTTTTCTAACCCAAGACTCTGCACCATAACATGCAGCTCTTTTCTCGTTGCATCGTTGCAGCTGGGCGTGGGGCGTTGTCATGTGCACATGTTGTTTCTTACATGAAAGTTTCACTGTGATTTTCAAACAGATGTCCATCCACTGATACAAACCGAGGACGGCGAGGCCTACGCGGCGGTGGTGGGGGCCAGCGCCTTCCTCCACTGCGAGTTCTTCGCGTCCCCCAAGGCGGTCGTGACCTGGTAAGCCAGACAGGGGTTCCCCAGAGCACGCAGCTGTAGAAGCATCCTTCGTTTCCTGACCATCGTCTGGCGGGCTGCACTGTTCCCATGTCATACGTGAACCCCGTGCCTCCGAGAAATGAGGTCACAGACTTGGTCACCTCCCTCTCCTGGAAGCGATGACCGGATCTCTTGGGGATTCTCAGGCGGGGAAAGTGGAAAGCCGCCTGTGCTTGCAAAGGAAAGCAAAGAATTGAAATGATCATGAGGATGATTTCATCAGTGGAGCTGGGTTCACCCTGGGTTTATCTAAAGGCGTGTATCTCTTTTTTGTGTTGTTCGGAACAGTGTCTAAATAATTCTCGAAGCCTGCATCTCATTCTGTACACACAGGCTTAAAACTCCAACACGTATTTTGAATTTAATTTGAAGGTACTGATGGTACAGTCAGTCCAAACACACCTCTGTGTGGTCCGCCGTGTGTTACCTCGCTACACACGTGGTCAGCCCGTCCGGAAGTGACTGTGCCACCTGGGCAGGGCCGGGATGGGAGCCAGGCAAGCGAGGCAGGGCCCCAGTGCTGGNAAAAAAATGATTTAAATGACATTTTTTATTTTACACATTCATATACTTTGAAGACTTGCCTTTTTGACTAAAAATGGAAATTGAAAAACGTCTTGGGGGAAATAACTGGCACCACTTGACGGGAATTACTACCTGCAGATATTGCACCATTTTCTAGAAATCAAATTACCCAAACCATCCACACTTTAAATCTTTTATTCGCTCCTGACATAGCAATGTACTTAAGGTGACAAAACATGACAGTAATGTTTGCACAGAAGAAAAATGTCTCATTCTGTACTGAACCTACCACTTAGAATTATAACATTGAAGCATTAGGCACAGAAAGATGTAATTTAAATATATCTTTTCCTCCATTGTTTTGAGGGCAAAAATGCCAAACGTTGGTTTTAGGCTTCCTTTTCTCCCCCCTTACCGCCCAAAAAAGAAATCTTTAGGAAATTAAAGTCCTCGTGGGATAGATAGATATGGATATGGCTATACAATGCTGCAAGCCATTAACTAAGACATATTTAAAATAAGGGCTGAGCACTTTAATTTTATTAAAAAATCTCAAAAAAACATATTTTAAAATATCAGCATTTTCAGGTTCCTTGCTGCAGCTCAAAAATAAGCTGTCGCCAGCACCAGTCAACGTACCATCTGCTTGTCCCACCTCCATTTTCTGTAATCGAGCTAGAAATGTGTGCAGCTAAGCACTGATTGTAGTGATTGTAGGTAACTGTTTCTAGCATGGCAGATGTGTTACCCACAGGGACTCCCGTCAGAGTGCAGGCCCGGCCGTGCCTGCCACCTGCTGGCGCGTCCTGGAAGTGCAGGCCTAACGCCTGCGTGTTAAGTGGCTGCTTTGCTCTTGGCTGTGTTTGCAGAGCCCCCTCGCTGGACGGAGAAGCCCCAGAGTGGCGTGTACAGCACGGGGGGCAGTGTCATCCTGTTATGCGAGGCGGAAGGAGAACCCGAGCCCACCATCAGGTGGCGCGTCAACGGCCTGCCGATTGAGAGTAAGTGAGCCCCAGCGGTGACAAGGTGACGAGGAGCGAGGCTGGAGGCCGC